GTTTGACAGTTAGGAGATGAACAAATCCAGAACCACAGCACTGATGCCAACAAAATTCTTCAGATGCCTGATCAAGACATTGTGGTCGAGCGTTTCCAAGGTTGAGCTGAGGTCAAGGAGAATTGAAATGGAGTGCAGTCCTGAGTTAGCTGAAAGCAGTAAATCACTGGTGATGGACAAGTTGCCAGTTCACCACAGGGCTAACACAGGGAAACAGACAATCAGACAATAGGGCTCATTTAGAACTAACCTACCATGCATGACTTTGAAAAGAAACCAGAGCATCCAGAGAAAACTCAAACAGACATAAGCATTTTAGCATTGTCATTATCTACACTTATACTTTCCCTGCTCAACATATTAAATGTCACATCAAAGGTCTATTTTAATGGCACTTCCACAAAGGTGTAATCCTGTCTAATTACACTGCTGCTCAGGTCAAAGGATTAATGTGAGGTCACGAAACTATATTAGCTATCAACTGCGATAGTGGTGCAAGCTGTCCTGCCCTAAAAGGGTGCAACAAAACCAACAGAAGATTGAGAAAGATGCTAGTCAAGCACAGTCATGCCCAGCAGTTGAGCAGTAGAGCTGAGGTCTTATAAAGCAGGGTAAGTGAAGACACCTGTGTGGGTGGACAATAAGGACTTTAATTGATCATTTGCACCATTCTGAACACACAGCAGGGAAGCTACTCCTTCCTCAAAGTGTGGCAGCAGTTGGGGAGCAGTACAGCTTAGAAACAATACATAAAGCAGTACATTTCATTTTAAATTTGCTTCTTTTGATGTTACGAAGTGCAGTAATTAGTCTTCCCCTGCACAGCCTGTGATGCTTTGTCTTTTACTTTTTCAGCAGTTTTGATAGGTGTTGATTTACTGGTGTGTGTGTGTGTGTGTGTGTGAGCGCAACACACAGAGACTCCTCTAATGAAAGAAACACTTCCATACAATTAGCTCCAGGTCCAAGACACTTCCTCTTTTGACCCAGCGGCTAATGATAAACACTACACTGTGCTGCGGAGAAATACAAACTTTTTCCCTGTTATGAACTTGTATCATAAAAGGCAACACCATTTACTGTTACTGTACTTGGGGATAATTATCATCCATGTATATCATGTTTTCCCTTGTAATTATGTCATAATTCAAAGGCTTCCCTGGCAAGCTAAAAACGGTCAGGTACGTCATCATATAACAAACTCTTCTCTGAGGACCGGGCCTATTAATTGTCAGGATATAATTACATTCACAACACCCTGAGGGCCCGTCTCGTTCAGTCATCTCAGAGTTACTGCTCCAAACTATAATTAGAGAATGTAATCACACAGGTATGGACCTCCAGGATTTATTTTTCAGCCTGACTGAAAGCTGATTGAAACGACATCTGTGGCTGGGTACCAGGCAGGGAGTGTTTATGATCTGGCACATGTTCAACAGCCACATGCAGTGGCACCAGGCAGCATACCATACCGGCAGAGTTCACGATTTACATACACAAACATGCACACATGGATGGGTGGTTCTGCTTAATTTGCTTGACGTGTGTGCATTCTTGTTAGCTTAGTGATTTCTTGAGTGGCATGCATCTGCATTATGTGTGTGCGTCCCCCTGTGAATGCCCTTGTGTGGTTATGCCACCCTCGTGTGGCACTTTTTGCCAGTATTAACAAGTGACCTCATCCCATTATGTCTTTCCGATCTCAAATGCCATCCAGTAAACTACTCATTTCTCACCTCTTCATGCACTCTTTCTCTCTCTCTTACCATTAAAACACCTCTTACCTCTCTCCCTGACACCCACTCTGAAAGAGCTCAAGACAGGCCGGGGAGAACATAAAGTAACTGCACACTATGAAGTGATTGTGAGAGATTTCCCAGTGAGAAGTGGTTAATCATTGAGTTTCAACAACATTTTTGTGATGTGGGCCGCGGTTTGAGACCAGGCAAAGTGTGAGGCTAGTGAATGTCTAAATTCATGTAGTTCTGCAGTGCTGTAAATATGGCTTTTCCATCCAATTTGTGGGTTTTAGGTTTAGCTTTTATTGTTTCTGTATGTATTCACCTCAGTAGTGGCATGGCTTCAAGGATGGCAATGCCAGTCAGTTTATGTATTAACTAGTTTCTGCTACCATTGCTCTGGCCAGTGGGTCAAAGGGTCACCCTGACTCCATTAGTGGCCTTATATTAGTAAAGGCAATCCAAAAAGCTCCTTCACTTCCAACTGACTGATGGGGAATGCTCAGATATAATGTATGTTGTCTTCACCAACTCACATGGCAAATGGCCCAAGACTCACATGCCTTAAGGTGTGAATGTTTGAGAATCTGCCAGGTGAAAAACAACTCAAAATGTTAATGCTGGTAAAACTTCTTGGGGAAGATCTGAAGACTGCATTATAAGTGGTTTGACTGAACTCCTTGTCAGTGTAGAGAAGGTTGTTCCAGTTCAACACAGGTGGCCTCTTTCACTCCTCTCTTAAACCATCTGTCTTGTCATCTGTCTTCTTTGAAACTGCCATCTCCAAAGAAGATCTATGACACCATTTATCTGGTACTTACAATGCTGTCTTGATCATCTTCAACTCTAAACTGAAGAAGCCTCTTGGATGAGAGGTGAAACATCTTCATGAACCAAAAAGCGAATGCCAGTTGCCTTCAACTACAGCTGTCAGGATTGCCATGACCTGGATGATTAAGAATCTAAACAGACTTAGAAGTAAACAATTGTTCCTCATCTGCCAGGATCATGGAGATATGTGGAGTCTGTGGGCTTCTGTATTAAGTCTAAAACTCTGACCTGAGCTCTGTGAGTACTAATATACACCACGTTGCAGGATAATTAGGACAACAAGGACACTGTTCACTTGTATGAGACCATCTCTGATTCTTCTCAATTGAACTTCCAACAAGTAATGAGTTCTGCTTTTTAATACATTCATTGGGTCTCCTGAGTTTGTTTTTTTGTGTGTGTGTGTGGTTCAAGTCAATTTCATCCACCTGCTCACAAGAATTTTCCTCACAAAGTCACCACTGTGGTCCTCGCTGAAACATCTCAACAACCGATGCTGGGAAAAAGATGAAAACTCAGATACAGCTATCATTCCTAGCACTCAGAAGATGAATCCCACTGATGTGTCCTATGAAAAATATCAACATCTAATGGAATGCCATGACATTTGTACATACACACGTTATACATTAAGTGTTCCCAGACAATTTAATTTTATCAATCCTCTAATTTTTTCCCTCCATTACCATGAAGCTGACATTGGTGGGTTTGTCTCCAGGTGGATGAAATTCGGTGCAGACATCAATGCTTCACATAGGATGAACTGCAAAGATATTGGCAATCCCCTGATTTTTCATCTCGTGTTATCATTGAGTTCAACGTTTTGGTTTATGACCCACAAAACAACTGCCATTATTCCAATCAGCCTCAGCTGTACTTTGTATCTAGTGCTACTTATCAAATGTTAGTGTGCTCACATAAAAAAGCAAATATGATGAACATAGTAATTATTAGCTATACCTGCTACCATGTTAATGTGGTATCACTGCATGTTAGCAGGCTGATGTACACTCTCAGAGCACTTTATTAGGATCCCCATAATAATACTGGGTTGGGCTTTCCCTTTGCTCTCAAAACATTCTCAGTACTTCACAGCACTGATTTCACAAGGTCTTGGAATGTCATGTTGACATGATTGCACAGCATAAATTCTTCAGATTTGTGGGCAACAAATTTATGCTGCGAATCTCCCGTTCTGCCACATCCCAGAAGTGTTTGACTGGATCTGACTGTTCATGAACCCAGTTTGAGATGACTTTTTGCTTTGTGATATGGTCTATTATCATGCTGGAAGTAGCCATTAAAAGATGGTAAACTGTGGCCAGAACAGACAAACCATGGTATTCAAACAATAACTGACTGATGTGAAGTGTGGCAAGAAAACATTCCCTCCACTGTTGAGCTGCCACCACCAGCCTTGACTATTGACACAAGGCAGAATGGGCCCATGGTTTCATGCTGTTGATGCCACCATGTGCAGCCTCAGCAAAAACCAAGATTAATCACTGCTGAATGTTCACAGTTCTCTATGATCTGATCCCAAAAAAGTTACAAAGTATAAAAACAGCAAGGAGTAGAGGACTGTTGCATCACTGGAATATTACACAGAGGAGATGGGGGGGGGGGGATAACAAACTTTTAACTTAGTGAACTTTTGCAACTTTTTTCCTCCCTTTTTCTGTGATCCTCAGCCAGTGACTTGGGCTTTGATCTATTCAATAAATCTAACAGTGATTAATGAAATGTCTAGCTATATGCAAGGAGATTAAGTTAATTATCCTCACTGTTAGCCTGAGTGGAATATTAATCAAGAACAAGAACCTGAAAATGTTGCTCTTCTTAAGAAGTTGAGTCACAGAAAAAGTGGGTGAGCAATGTTTTCTCCTGGGGATTGAATCATGCACGGACAGCAAAAAACGCAGCTCCGCTGAGTGGGGAGCTGAAGATGGGGTTAGGGGAACAATGACACATCATGTATCATCTTACACGTCCCAACGCTGCTCTGACTAAAGCTCTAGACAGCGAGATGATTGAGTAACAACTTACCATAAAACCACTCCCAACCAATTTCACATCTAAATATGATGTGTGTATGTGTGCAGGCTTCACATTTGTCCCTCAGCACACATTGACTCAACATACTATATTACAGTATCCCCTCTGGATGTCTTTAAACAAGATAGATATGATGGCTGTGGCATCATGTTCACTGCATTTATCATTGTTAAATTCAGATGAAATCATCCTCACGTTTTCCCTAAAGCATGGGAAGAGCAGCAGAGCATTTCATACAACTGCTGCTTTTTCCATTGTAATGTACATGATGTCAGATCTTGTTTACTTTGCTGCATGCACAGCGCAGGCAGCGATCACTTTTTCAAGCCCCTTATGTTAGACAGAAAAAAAAGAAAAAAAACAAAACAACCCAGCCCCATTTATACATCATATTTTATTCAACAATATAACTTTTGCTCTTCAGAGTACAATCAATATAAGATACATATGACAAAATATATTTTAAATAGAAGAGAAAAAAAAAAACATTAAGGCATCTCACTGAAGAAAGTTAACAGTCTTGACAGCATAAATGATTAGATTAGTGTTACATTTTGTTTTGTGTATTTATACCTCTAAGGCACAATGGCATGATCACTGCTGAAACCACATAAAAGAGTTATAGGCAAAGTTGCATAACTTTCTACGCTTACAGAGTGGTGACAACATGTTGGTTTTCAATGTGGTTTTCAGTGCTGGGTGTCAACAGTTTACAGTGTTTCAGCAATAAGCCAGAGCAGACACGTGGAGTCATGAAAGGCAAAGCAGGTAGTGAAAGATTTCTCATTCTGCCAAAAGTCTGGTGGCATTGTATTAACACTTTAATAATCCCCTGTGTCGCGCATGAACCGGCTACGGGGCGAAACACTGTAATTATCTTTATCACGCAAGCCAGCCTGGTGCCAGTGTGACTTCTTGACTGGGACCGACATTAGAAAGTCCAGCTGTTCCTCTGGAGAATCGCTGTGGCACCAACGAGCGGTCAATTCGCCAAGGTGTGTTATGAAAGCCGCCGTTTCCCGTACGTGTTCTCGAGTTCAAAAATCTCTGTTATTGCCTCTGCGAGCGAAAGCTGTTAGGATGGCATCACAGAAACGCATAAACAGCTCGACCACATCCACCGAAGCCGAGGCAGAGAACAAGCTCCTTCTCACTCTTTCCCTTTCTCTCCCTCTGTGCTTCACACTTACATTTGCTTGCATGCATAAACAAAGCCAGTCGCGCGCACACACTCGCTCACAAGAAACATCCACACACACATAAACACACAGATTTGTTACCTAGGTATGTACATGACTTAACTCTTGTGAGCAACGTCAACGAGCATCGAGCTGTAAGTTGTAATACAAAGTTTAGTACTTTCTCAACTCACAGGCTAATTCCCTCCCTTTACACTTTTGAACTGTTCCTGGACTTCTCTGGAAATTATTACTCATGAGGCAAACTATACAGAAACTTGCACAAATAGCATGGCGCAGCAGCACTAACCGCTAACATTTATCAACAGAAGCTGTGATTTACAAGGTCTGTAAATTATTTTTGTATCAAAAGCTGTTCATACTGAGTGTCTGTCATTTCTATAGATTGTCTCTCTTTCTTACAACTGATGCACACACAGGTTATTGTAAGCACTTGTGGTTTGAACAAACTGATAAATGTAGTTACAGCTGCATTAAAAATTCATCACACTTACGATGTGTGTCCACTAGGCCTCTTTTCCTGAGTGCCCCTACTTTGCTCCCAATTGTTCGGGTTGGGGGGGAGAATTGCAAACAACCGCTACGAGGGAAAATGCTGCATTCAGCATCTTTCTTCTTCAAAAATCTGTCAGAAATCATTCAACTTTAAAGTTAAAAATGTTTTATTAAGTCCTATGTTTGAAGTTCAGTGCTTCCTGGAGACACCGAAGCCGTAAATCAGCGCGTCGACGGAAAAAGATGCCCAGTGGTCACATTATAGCAAGAGGTGGTCTGACTTGAGCAAGCATATTGGAACTGCTGTGCTGCTGTTTGAGTCTGAAGCAGCCTATGTTATATGTTGTATGCATGTGCTGTATGAAAATGTAAAGTATGTTATGCTGATACAGGCGTCTGCTGTGTTACACCGCTATGTTTGCTGAACCAGAGTTATGCGGGCTGGTGGGCAACGCGCCGCTCAGAAGGCGTAGGGCCCCACTATGACGGTGAGCCGCAGCAGTGAGCTGGAGCGGTAGTTCATGGTCAGATGGTGAGTGATCATCTCCAGGTCCACGACGTACTCCCGGGGGCCTGACAGAGGCTTGGTGAGCACCAGCATGGCGCTCACATTGCTGGAGCGCTGCGAAAAATAAAAACAAATACAGATTTGTCCGTTACATTTTTTGATTGGAGTTAACATGAGTAGGATGCAGCACATTGGACTGATTAAAACAGACTCAAATATCTGTATACTGTAACTATCAGAGTGCCATGGAGGTTGCGTGGCCCCCACAGGATGAATCTGACTTATGCCACCAGCAGGTTGACATTTTAGGCTCTTGTTGAAATGTCTCAACAACTGGAACAAACATTCATGTGCCCATCAGGATGAACTGTAGTAACTTTGGGAAACCAAACCAAAGTCATTCCCAGGATGACAAAAACTGTTGTTCTGTCAAAGCTGTTGCATAAGTCACAGGACAGTTTTATTTTTGCTCAAATGCCTTTTCACTCGTTGTTTGGTTAAGTTTAAGTACCAAAATCAGTTGGTTAAGTAGGTAAAGACCATAGTTTGGGTGAAAACACACCTTTTCACAACATTAATCACATACTACAGTGCCTTAACATGACTTTGTAGAAATCTGTTTTCACTTTGACATGAAAGAGTCTTTTTATAAAAAGTAAATTCTTGTCCAAAAAAAGCCTAATTAAGTTGACCATGAATCAATGTTAAACAGCAATAAAAGGAGAAAACTTCGAAGTGGGGTTGAGTGCTTTTTAGGCAAAGCATTAACAGCATAAAATGGAGCAACAGTGACGTCATTAGTTAAGAAAATTGGCCTACAGTCTCATGGTGATAATTTCTCATGTTCAGGGAACTTTGTATGTATATCAGACTACTGTGTTGATGCTAAGGGGTCCTGACATAGTAGTGATACAAGGTGATCATTCAGCCTTTCATCTTGCACCATCATCAGGTCAAAAATTGGAATTTGTCCAACACATTGTTTATTGACCAAAAACTTGCAAATCTTATGAAATTCCCATCAGCCTAATCTACTTAATTAGCATGCTAACCAGCTAACCCAAGAGGGTAACATGGTAAACATTACGCAGCATGGTTTTAAACTCTCAGTCTTGGTTGCCAAATAATAGTTTGTCAGACCACGAGAGCACAACACTGCAACTGTTCAGCATATAATGTTAGCCCTTTACGACGTGTTGCACCCTCCATCAGCTTTTCAGGAAATACAACAGACTTACCCGAAGGAAAAATTCTCCCGCCTCATTCCCAGATTTAATCCTGAAGGTGTTGTGTGTGTTGGCATATATGTTGGTGGCTTGAATCTGGAAGATGTCCGCTGGCACAGTCCGGTCCGCCTGGATGCTCATGTATTTGTAGACAATTGACGGTGGGAGACCCTGGCAGTCGATCTGAGATCGACAGATACAGCGACTGCAAACAAACAGCAATTAAGACTATTTTTCCGAAAGTGGTCATGCAGATGATGGAAAAACAACAGAACTGAAAATGTTTACTGACTTTTCAGAGGTCTGAGTGTAAGGCGCCTCGCAGGGGTTTCTGGGATAGCAGCGGAAGCCTCCATAATAGTTCCAGCACGTTTCATCATCTTGGCAGTTATGGGTCCCTGTCTCACACTCATTTATGTCTGGTGATGGGCACAGTGACAAAAAAAGAGAGAGAAAAAAGTCAATGTTAGTACCCTCCATTTCCAAAGAACACAAACAGTGCACGCCTCATGAAACAGAGCTGTGAAAGCACAGTCAAAGTTCAGGATTTGTACAAGTTGGGAATGGTGTTTCAGAGCTGCAGCTGAATTTCCAGTGGCTGTGGAGATGCAAGGAAAAACAAGAGGGAAGCCTGCAGATCTGTAGTCGAGGGAAGCCCCTGATGCAACCCCGCATAGGCTTAACTCCAGCACTTTCCCTGCAGCGCCATGAAAATAGTCCCATCAAATGTGCCCCAAACCACAGGGGCTATTTCTGGCACAGCAACCTGGATTCATCACCAAAACGTCCCTCTGACACAACAGGCTGGATTCATGGCTCCCCCTATAAAGCCTGCACCTGACCGAGGGGGAGAGGAAAAAATAACAGCTCTCCCTTTGAGAGAGCGCCGGAGCTTCAAATAAATCCACTTCAAGAAACCAACATCATGCATATAAATTCACAGAGGTGGCTTAGCAGGGCAACACAAAGTTGCTGTGTTTGCATTGCCTAACCTCTGCATTCTTTCCATGACAGTACAGTTTGAGAGTGGCTTTCAGTGCTGCTCGAGAGGTAGAATAGTAGATGATAGCAGCAATGACCAACTTATTCTCACAGTTATGTTTCGAGTTTAAGAGGCGGTAGAAGGGAGGCAGGCAAGAGGGCTTGCTTGGGAACTTTGTTGTGTGTGAAAACAGAGAGGAGGGTAAGAGGCACATAAATAAATAAATGAAAGAAGGAAACAAAAAAATAATTTAAGGAAGGAAAAGGGAGGACTGCAGTACCTTGACACAACCTGTTCCCCTGCAGCTGATATCCTTGTGGGCACTCACAGGAGTAACTTCCTGGGCTGTTAACACACTGGTACTGACACATGTAGCTGGACAAGCTGCATTCATCAATGTCTGGACAGAAAATACACAAATACAAGGAAGACAATGTAGGCTGAGAAAAGGTAGCGCGTATGCATAGAAATGATAACAAACACGCATTTATCTGCGTGTGTGTATTGACTGTATGCATGTTTGGGTGCTTTCGTGCATCCACCTTGGCAGGAGACCATGTCTTGTGCCAGCTCGTAGCCGTGGTCACACTGGCAGAGGAAGGAGCCAATCAGGTTGTAGCAGTGATGCTGACAGGGACTCTGCACGTCACATTCATTCACATCTGCAACGAAAGTGTTTGACATACATGGACACATTGATGATAATTCTTCTTTACTCCAACTCTGAACTTTCAAGCATTGCATCATTTTAACCCTCTGAAATCCAACTTTCTGTGTGTTTTTACTCCTGTCATACAGTTTTGCATGCTGACGGATAGAGAGAGAAAATGTCCTCTGCGCAGTATGACAGCTATGCGTCACCATATACAATTTTTTTCCAAATGCCCACATATGCTACCAATGCTGAAAAGAAAATATGGTGATCCTATATACCATAATGACAGTAAATACTACACTGCTCAGCCCAAAAGTCCCTACTTTTTCCTCTTTTTTTTCATGTGACTGTGGTTCGCAACTGAGTCACTAATGGCTTCACGTTTACGCTGAGGAGAGCAGAATATTTGTTACAAAATCTGGTTAGATCAAACATTTTACTTCTGGGGCGTTATTAAATGAGACATGCAGGATAAAAGGATTTCGATGAAAGGTCAGGATTTTAAGCTTAGGTTTGGTTAAGTTTTCATACAGAACCGCATGTCACAGATGAGTAGCTCGAGGACTGTCAAAAAGTTGGAAATCTGATGATTCTTGACCTTTTTTTTACAGTTTTTGACTGATAAATTGTGTCATTTTGGCATGTTTTTAAAAGATGACATGGATTTTAAACTTGCTGGTGGGTTCTGGGGCTTAGAGGGTTAGATGATCGCTTAAAAGAAGTCAGCTGGTGCCAAAAACAAACACAAGCAAGAGTTGCATGACACCATTTCACCTCTGCGTGTTTATCTGGTGTGCTTGTTTTTTGGAGATGAAAACGCTGCCCTTCACCTCTTACATTCTATTCATTGGGATGATCTTTCCTCCGTTAATGCATGAGAATCAGCTGGCCTCTTTAGAGACAGTTTCTGGCTGGACGTAACAGCCATGAGACATGTGATCATGTTACTCCAGATCAGCAGCAGTCTGAGCCTGTTAAACATCCTTATTTTTCTTGCTGACAGCTTCATAGAATGATTTCAGACTTTTCACATGCTATTTCAGTTTCACCTTCAAACAAAGATTAGATAAGCATCCTAAACTGTTGAATTGTTTACAATCTCTCTGATCATGTGACTGCTTTTTTTCTTCATGCTAACAGTGTTTCTCAAATTCAAGCGCATAGTATGGTGAGTGCGCTGTTATCGTAGTGGATAAGGATGATGTCTAACATGTAAGTAAGATCTAAATGATAATAAACCGTCAGTCATACTTTAAGAAATAACAATAACTACAAATATTTTAATTGGCCTGTCTATTTCCTGCAGATAAGTTGCATTTTGGCTTCGAAACTAAAGGTCAGAAGGAGGCAGAGAGACTAATACAGCGTTCACAGCTGCACACATTCAACACACATACACATGTTGGAGCATAGCTGCGAGCCAGTCATGGGTTTTGATGGATTTCTAAATTTGCTTCAGAGATAAACAGCTCTCTATCACACACTCAATAACTCCCTTTGACTTGAGCAGGAGATTTGCTGTGTGGGTTCAGGTTGCATGGTCAATCTCATGATAGCTCCGAGCTTCCGGGCATTCAAAGCAACAGCTTGTGCAAAATTTGCTTCGTGAAAAGCGATTCCTTAAAATATCTGCGTCCTGAGAAAAATGGAAAAATGAAGAGAAACACGGCGAGTGTCAACGCTGATGACTTCTTTGATTTGTTGCCTTATTCTAACTCTTTTTAAGCCAGTTTTATACAATAATTGTTCACTAATTGTACATCTTAATGCTTTTTTGTTTGCTTTATGATAATATTATGCTTTGTAAGACACTGAAGCAACAACAACTCTATTGAAAGTCAGCAGATTAGGCGGATATCCACCAGATACAAAAAGTCTGATGGTGTGCCTCTGAGTAGCAAACCATAGAAGCAAAAGTGTTTTTATAATTCCATGTTGCACACACAGACTCACACATGAGTACACACGGCTTTTCAGCGACTTACCAACACAGCTGTGGTTGTTGCTGGCCAACTTGTGACCTGCATTGCACTCGCAGTAGTACGAGCCCGGGGTGTTCACACATCTGTGCATGCAGTAGTGGGTCAGGGAACACTCGTCTCTGTCTGCAGGTAACCAGAGAGTCACCATGGAGAGGACACGGCCAAGTTTCCCCGAGTTCGACGAACGTTTTTTTTAATCGTGCGATAAAGTGAGCGTGTTTTGTGACTCACCGGTACAGTGGTCACCGTTCCTCTGGTAGCCTGAAGGACACTGGCACGTGTAGGAGCCCCTGGTGTTGACGCACGTCTGCTCAGGCCCACAAGTGTGTCGGCCAGTCGCGCATTCATCTATGTCTGCAATAATCACACACAGACACTGAGAGGAAGCCAATGCCTGCTGTACGCACGAACATATGGCAGACAAAGCAAAAAAGCAGCGTGCCCGGACCGTGTGCGCTTTGTGATCTTTTTTTTACAGACAGACGGTAAAAATCTGCGATCACTGACACCATCGCATCACACACACACACACACGGGCATAAACGCACATGTTCGCACAGAGAGCAGGGCGATTAAATAAAGGAGGCTTTTATTCAGGAGCTCCGGGTGAAGGGGAAAACACAGATCGTAATCTATACTAACAGGACAGCTTTTTGAAGGGGGGAGTTCATGTGTGTGTGTGTGTGCATATGAATGAGAGGGGGGAAAAAAATCTAAACTGATAAGTCATGCGCTCTCCACCGTAACGCCTCAGACATCCATCAACACAAACGCAAACAGACCCAAACACATCGACTTTTTATCCGTCAACCCATAATTAATGTGGGGTGAGAAAACTACTGTTTATTATGTTATGTACTGCAATAAACAGTAGTTTGATGTGAGTACAGGAGGCTTCAATACAGAAAGCGAAAGTTTTCAAGCTAATTTACGTTCTGTATGTCTCAAATAAATAGCACCGTACGTACAACCGGCAGTGTTGAGATGATGGAGCGACTCCTTTGTGTTAACTAGTGGTTAAGCATCCAACACATGACACAACCGTGAAAAAGATTCTATGTTTAATGTTGATCCTACAAACACTTTCTCAACTTCGGTTTGTTCGGAGCCAGAGCTTCTTGAAAAAAAAGAGAGACTTTTCTCACTATAACCCCCCCACACACACACACACACTATAAATATGCCAATAGTGTATACTTTCATCCCCGAGGCCCACCAGCAGTCCTCTTGGGTGGTCTGACACAACCCATCATATGCAGACAGCCACTGGGCATCAGTTTAGCAGCATGACAGACAGTTATCCTCAATACCACACACACAGGAAAGGAGAGGGTACTATTACTGCATTGTTATTTGGCACGTGTGGAGTCTAACAATAGTCATAAGAATCTGACTGGAAGGTGACTGGAAAACCTGCAGTTGCACTCTGTCCTCCTGATTGTAATATTCCCCCTACAGGGTTTAGATGCTGTCAATAAACCAGAGACAAATCCTTATGTATTCATAGAGAACGCACTACGGCCAAATGTGTAAAATTGATAAATCAAAACCATTAAAGTAAATGCAGGAACTTGCTGTTGCATCTTGAACTGATATTTCCCTGGAGATGTTTCATGTGATGCGGTCTCAGCTGGAAAGCTCTTGCCCGAGTGCCTCAAATGCCGAATATTCCCGTCCCACAGCCTCCAACGTCGAGTGGGACTGGTGCCGGTGAGAAATTGGCTTGATTCGCTGCACAAGGGGCCCGTGCAACAAAAAGGCAGACAGAAGGTAAGTTGTCTTCGCTTCTTAAAGGGAGGAAAGCGAAGAGGGCTGAAATGTGCTCAAGTCTATGGGGGCACAGTGAAAGGATGAACTCAGTACATTAGGGACAAAAGCGGGGCTTATCTAAAAGGTGCACCTCAGAGACAACAGGTGCAAATTGCATAAAGGGAGGAATGCACGGGCAAGGCTTGTTGCTCACTGACCCGCTTAGTAAAGGACAAAGATAAAAGCAGTGTTGTCCTGGAAAATCTGTGTTCTGATGTGGCTTGAAAGGCATCTGGGAAAGTGCGTCCGCAAACAGCACCGAGTGTCAGCGAGAAACCGAATGCTTGGATTCCAGCAGTATCACACTATGGGATACTGCCACTCTCGCAACGGCTCACGGGCTCCATGACACGGCTGTTAAAAAAAAAGACTCGGTGCATTACAAGGTGTCTGTGGCTGGTGGTGCAGCATCCAGGTTTCGCCTCTTAGGTACAGAAATCTACCTTGATATGGACAATAGATTTCCCACATGTGGCGATATACAGTGAACCATATATGATTCCAAATCTATCTGGGTGGCCACTGAACACATTCTACTGAAAACAGTGTAGAAATTCTCATCTTTCTGCTGGAGTCTGAACCTGCAGAAGGTTGCAGGGTGACGGCAACATACAGCAACAGCACTACTAGCTAGCTTTGACAGGTAGCTCCAAAGACTTGCAAGGCTGTAAAAGAATAACATGGTGATGTGCTTACCAGATAAATAATGGAAATGAAATCCGGTGTTTATATACAGTCACAACAAAATATTTGAATGAATGTCAACAATTAGACAGGAGACAACATTCAGAGGCCAGAATCGAGTCTCTGTGACTCATAACCCCGCCTACTTACTGGAGGCTCTTGGTGATTCATTTAGACTGGAAATGCCCTGCCTTCTGGCAGTACAATAGAAGCAGACAACACAAGTCTGACACTCCAGATTTCTGGTGAAAGAAAGTGCTGTGTGTTGATGCCCTCTCAGTGCCAACAAACAAAACTGTGATACCAATGAAATGTTGTGGTTTTAGAACCAGATAACCACATTTGGCAACTTGATAAATTTACAAGATGTGAGGCTGTCACGGATAATTATATTTATTGTTGATTATTCTGTTGATCGTTTTCCTGATTAGTCGTTTGGTCTATAAAATGGCAGAAAATGGTGAGAAATGTCGATCTGTGTTCCCCAGAGCCAGAGCTGGTCTGGCCTGATGGTCTTGTTTTGTACGCAATCCAAAAATTCTTACTTTACTGTCAAGGATGGAAAAAAACAGAAAATATTCTAATTGAAGAAGCTGGGATGAGCAAAATTTAGATTTTTTCTTTTAAAAAATTACTCAAACTGAATAATTGATTATCAAAACAGGTACGGCCAACTAATCGATTCATCATTGCATCTCTACACTGTTGGCTTTGAGGCCCTACTCACACATAGTAGTACTTTGAGCTTAAATGCTAAAGTCGCTAGGGATGTACGACGATATCTGCATCAGTTCAAAATCGACATTGGTAGGTAAGTAACACCTGTCAGCCTTAAAATCTTCCATTTTGCTTGAAAATGTTACATAAAAACAATTATGCCATGTTTTACATGGTAGCTAAACTACTTTTCTTACTTTACCCAGTAAACGTGTTCAATCACATCACCTTCACCTGAGCTTTCTCAGAATGTGGATATTGGAGAAGAATTGAGTTTTATACCAGCACTTGCCAGTGGGTCTTCATGATCAAAGAAGGACATCAATATGTTAATTCCACAACAGGTGAAACTTGAGAAAAAACATGTGCCCATATCTGCATCTGCCAAAATGAGTTAAACAACTTCAGCATATCAGATATCAGTAAAAATCCAATGTCGTACATCAAAGGTCATCATGCCAACATGTTGTCAGTGTCAATGCTGACGATTAAAAATTGTATGTTTGCAACATTTACGACCTCATTTTATCATGCTAGTATGATAACATTTTCTAATCACCACTAACTACATTATTGATTAGGGTATTTGGAAAGTTTCCATCCATTAACCTCCTAACTGAAAAAGTTCCATGTCAGTCGATCGTGATGAGAAATATCTGACTGACCAACGTTGCTGTTCCTGGAGCTACGTTGCTAATGTGGGTAAACAACAATTAATCAGTCAAAAAGCTTTCAGAATGGGTTGTTTTGTGTCTGGGGTTAACGGCGCACAATCAGCTGATGTTATGTTCTTGGACAAGATTCATATCGGCTCACATAGGCAGCACAGTTTCATCGAGCTCGCAGTTGACTTAGTTCAGACTGAATTTAGGACATAATCTGAGCCAGAGCTGGTCCACATCATTACACGATGGCTTCTCCTGATAGCAGCATTTGCTCTTGTTTTCAGTCGCTGTTGCCAAACAGAATTACTTGAATGCATTTGAAATGATTTTAGTGCAACTTACCTGGCGTGAGTCCAACAGCATCTATGTCACTGTTGCACAGATTGGTTGTGGCTACCTGAAAGCCTACACGAAACACTGAACAGTATGTCACTGCTGCTGCAGGAAACACAATCCAGCTGGATCGTGTTCCATCGAGTAAGGTGTAGAGACCATGAACTGTTACAGAAAGAAGCAATGCCTTACTGTAAATTGTTTAAATGGGAACAGTGGAGTTCCTGCTAAATTCTGTGTGCGGAAAAGTCAGAGTCATCTTCCCTCTCCTCGAAGCGAGCTTGGAGAGCTCTAAATAAAAGCATATGTGCTGAACGCGATCCAAAGGTTCATTCACAGGAATATCTTGCGGTAACTGCTACTTTGTCACTAAAACTTTAAGAAGCTGCCAATACAAAGTTCCACAAAAGTTTGTGTGTGTGGGGAGTGTGTGGGTGGGGTAGGAGAGTATCCCACACTGGATGGCTCTTAGGTCCCATAAAGTCTCCCCAGTTTGCCACATGCCGTACAGTCCATATAGTTTACACAGGAAAACAGATTTTACTGCAACAAGCCATCAAATGTGATGATGTGTTGCGTGTGGGGAGAAGTGACTCTGTTCTCTGAGCTCAGGTTTTGTTTTGTTTTTTTCAGAATTTATTTAACGTAGCTTACAAGTTTCTTCCAAGCCTGCAGTAACATCACAGGGAAAAGATAAGGCTGTCCAGCAGAAGAGTGGAAGATGTGGAAGGAAAGAATGAGGAGAAAGGGTGGAGTCTTTTTTTTTTTTTTTTTAAACAAAAAAGGCCTTTTTAAGATTTGAAGTTGGATTTACGGCCTTGTGAGCATATGTGATGTCAGAGTTAAAAACTCCTTGCTTTTCAGGGAGATTAATTCTAAATGCCTTGTGGGAGCTGGGGGAGTAACGGGAATGGCGGCAGCTCAAAGAATGCGAGCGTGTGTGTGTGTGTGTGTGTGTGTGCGTGTGTGTGTGTGTACGGGTGAGTGGGCGTGTGTGTGCATCAGAGGTCCGGTTTGAGGTGCTCATTAAATGGCCTTTTTTTTTTTTTTTGCAGAGCTGCTTATGTTTCACAGAATAGACACTGTGAGAAGGTACATGAAAAAAAAAGAAAGAAAATGTGTCCAAAACGGGGACTAAAAATTGTT